ACACTGATTATAAATAAATAAATCTTAAAAAAATAATAATAAAGTGTCTTCTGAAAGCAAATGCTGGGGTTTCTTCAGCTTTTAAATAATAAAAAAATTAAAACAAAAAAACTCAAGCAGCCAGTTCCCCTGGCCCACAGGTCCTGCAGCTTGTCTGCACTCTGCTCTGGGAGGTTCTAAATGAGGGGGTCAGGGCTCCACCTGCCAGGCGGCTGATTAACTGACTTGGGTGTGGTCTAGGCAGACTTGCAGGTGAGTCCAAGTGTCTCTAGGGTTGAGCACCACTGTCCTAAGTCATCCTTGCAAAATACCCAGAATCTCACCAGTAGGACAGTCCACCAAACCTTGTATCAGCCTAACACAACCTCTGGAAAAGGGGCACCGTGACATTTTTGTCGTAATCTGCATTATTATCCGTTGATTTTTACATGTCTCAGGTTAGGCATCACAAAATCCATTAAGCCACATTAGGGAAAAACTATGCCAGCAGCTAGAGAGCTAAAGGAAGAAGGAATGTGGAACATTATATCAGAAATAAGGTTTTTACATCCAAATTCACATTTTTTAAAAAATTAGCTCCTGTAATCTCTTATTTTTTCCCCCGTAGTTTTCATCCCACAGACTCACATATTCATTAACAGAGGCCGACCTTGAAAATACAGTTACGAATTGTGGGGGGCTCTCTGTATTCAAAGTTCATGGTCAAGTTGATAAGGAAAATAAGAAAACAGACAATTTTTTTAAAATCGGCAAACGATTTTATCAGATACCGCAACAAAGAAGCTACACAGATGGCAAAGAAGCCCACGAAAAGATGCTCAACGTCATTAGTCATCAGGGGACTCAGTTAAAACCACAGTGAGATATACTGCATACCTGTTAGAAGAGCAAAAAGCAAAAACAAAACCAAACCCCGACATACCAGTGCTGGCTACGACCTACGACACAAAGCAACAGAAACTCTCACACGTTCATTGCTGATGAGCCGCAACGATGCAAACCGCTTTGGGAAATAGTCTGGCAGTTTCTTATGAACTACGCAAGGAAGAGCAGCCCATAATACTCAAGAACAAATGCCTAAGACAATGGTCAGGGACACACTTTGTGTCCTCAGCTGTCCAAACACCAGTGTTCCCAGGCTGAGTAAAAGAACAGAAGGGTAAACTTCAAATGTATGCAGAGTGAGAGTGGGGCCAGTGAGCCCAGTGCAGCTCGGCGCCCAGTCTGACCTGATGCCTCACCTGGGTCTCTGTTAACTAGGCCCTTGGGGGGGTAAGAGGCATCCCCAGATGTGCCTTCCCTGCAGCCGGGGCTCCGATTCTTACCTCTCTCATCCCACTTGTAATGGCAGATGCTTGAGGGGTGGTCTGGACAATCTGCTGCAGGATGGTGACATAGGTCTGAATTTCCAGAAGATTCTGTTGGGGGAAGGAAAGCATTCTCATTAAAACCTGAGCTGCTTGAGATTTTGCCTCCAGGACCAGGTGACCCCAGGGATGAATGTTTTCACATGTTCACCGTCACAGACAGGACAGACTGTGACCTGAGCAGCAGACATTTTAATCTTCACAAGAGTAAGGGGGCAGATAAAGAAACTGAGGCTTGATTGGTCTCGCCATTTCCCTTCAGTGACATGGATGCTTTGCTGCTGGTTTTCCTAGAGCCCAGGATGGCACAGCTATGAGAGAAAAGCAGAGACGGGGAACAAAGAGGCCCCCAAAGGGTACAAAGGACCCTTTCTGATCCCAGAACAGGGCAGTGGTTCAAAGGATGGTCAGTCAATCCCAGACTAAATCACTTACTAGCTGGATGTGGTCTTGAGTAAGTGATTTAAACCACCTAATGCTCAGGGTTTTGCATATAAGAGGACTACCAATCTGGTCACGGTGCCTGATCCCCTTTCCCAGCAGAGCACCTGTGCCCAGCTCTGTGTGTGAGAGCACATCGCAGAGAATTGCCCTTGGCCAGACAATGGTCCAAGAAGCAATACCCGCAAACCCACCTCGCCCCGACCCGAATCAATGACTCCTTGGCACAGGAATACAAAAAGCCAACCCTCTTGCCTCAAGGTGGGACCAACCCTGTGGAGCAATCATACTCCAGAACCCTCCATGGGGTCAGGCTGAGGCCAAACTCCAGCTAAGCCCAGACCCCTGCGCCCCTATTCCCCTTCATCTCCTCCTGGAAGCTCACCATTAATACAGCAATCACGCAAAAATCATCACTTGGGCTCTGCTCCTGGGGAGCCTGCCCTACGATACTAACTCACGAGGCTGGTGTTAGGACCAATGAGATAATACACAGAAGCTTCGCAGTGTGAACTCTATTATCACCCCTTCGGTGTGAGCAATGGGTCCTCCCATTGGCGTAGGCAGGTCCACACTGAGACAGGAAGAGAGTCTAATACCTACTGAGCACGCACCAGGCTCCAGGCTGTACCGAGTGTCTCACCTATACCCGCATGCTGCCTCAGTTTCCCCAGAAGCAGACTGGTAGAGATTGAACGTTGTGACCCTCCAAATGTCACATATGGAAGACCTAAGCCCCACTGGGATGGGGTGTGGAGGTGCGGCCTTTGGGAAATAACTAGATTTAGATGGGGTCATGAGGGTGGGGCCCTGTGACGGGATTAGTGCCCTTAGAAGAAGTGACACCAAAGAGTTGGCATCGAGGAAAGCCCAGGTGAGCACACAGTGAGGAGACAGACGTCTGCAAGCCAGGAAGAGGGCCCTCCCCGGAACCTGGCCCTGCTGGCACCCCCAGCTCAGTGTTCCAGCCTCCAGAACTGTAAGAAACAAATTTCTGTTGTTTCTAAGCCACAGTGGTACTTTATTATAGCAGCCCGGACTGGCTAAGATACAGGCCCTGAGAGACGGGTCTGAGTGCAAACAGTTTATGTGGGTGAAGGTGCCAGGAAACGTTATTGGTTGGAGAAGTGAGACAGGAAAGGGAAGGCAGCCAATGAGGAGCACGTTACCAGGTAAGTTACCACTGTGGGCACCCAGTGCTCAGGCCTAGCGGGGATCCCTGGGAGCCGTGCAGAACTGTGCAGAACAGCCGGTGAGAGGGAGCTGGGGTATGAATCCACCAATGCGCATCCATCACTGGCTGAGGCTGCTCCAGGGGCAACACGTTCCGTGAGGCAGAGACACCCTCCACTGCCTGGAGAGCGTCCAGAGACAGAGCTGCGGATACTGGCAGTTGGAAGGAGGCCACAGCCCACCAGAGAGGTCAGCCCCCAGGACCAAAGCCAGGCTCACCAGTCCGCTACAGTTAACCACACTGCTGCGCAGAAGGAGAGTCTGGTGTTTGCACGTTGAAGATGGCAGCTCAGAGTGGGAAGGCCACTTGCCCATGGTTACACAGCTCCAGGATTTGATTTGTCCAGTACACCAAGGCCCCCCAAAGTCAGGCCTGTGAGAAGCTAGTGGGGGTGGGAGGCAGAGCAGAGCGCTACACAACAGAAAGCTCCCGAGTGCCAACTAACTGGCTTGGAGGCAGAGTTAATATATATATATTACATTTTCTGCACTTCTGCATTTTCTGAGCTGAAACAATGATAGGTCCTAGCTTACTCAAGACGGATCTAAGCAAAATCACTTTGTGAATTGTAATGTACTCAACAGACATGTGTTCCCAATCCCTCCCCCCAACACACACACAACTGCCCTCCTGCTCTGCACATGTCTTGCTCACTAAGAGCCATCCAGCAACCAACCCCTCACCCACTTGGTTCAGGGGCAATACACACAAAAGGAACCCATTGTAGCAGGCTCATGTGTCAACCACAAGTGTCCCGGCCTCGTCTGGCCAAACCCAAACCGGGTTACCTGGGGGAAGGGCTTCAGAAGGTTCATGGTTACCTTCTTGTACCTGTCCTTTGCTGCACTGATGTCGTCCTGTAGAAACTGGGCTTCGATCTGAAGGCGTAGGTTATGCAGTAAGGCTTCATCGGCTTCCTGCAATGAGAAACTGAGTCACACATCTGACTCGGAGGGCTGCACAGTGGAGGTATTGGCACATGGGTGTGAAATCAGCCAGATGTATGGGCACACGGACCTCCTGGGTTCTTATTAAAACATAGTCTTGTTCAGTAGGTCTGGGAGAGTGTCTGAAATTGCATATCTCTAGTAAGGCATTGGGTTAGCCCATTAGACCTGGTCTAGAATAATTCTCCACAGAGATTGATTTTGCCCCCAAGGGGACATTTGGTAATATCTGGAGACATTCCCAATTGTTACCACTTGGGTGCTGGGGTGTGACAACTGGCATCTAATGAGCAGAGGCCAGGGATGCTGTTAAATATCCTACAATACACAGGACAGCCCCACACAACAAAGAATTCTCCAGTCCAAAATGTCAATAGTGCCATGGTTGCAAAACCTTGATCTAGAAAAATCAGGGAGAAAATGAGGATACAGTTACATACCAACAGCCTTAAAATTTAAGTTACATCTATATCTGTTCTATATCTCATCATCAGGAAGTTGAGTTTCTAAGACTAAGAAAGAGTTTTCTGGTAACACCGAAAACTTCATTTTAATAGTTTTCTCCCAAGGACTGCTGACACTTACCCTGATGCTATGTATCTTTAACACAAAATGCATTTTTTTAATGAGTGCTGTGGTAAACAGTATTTATTCCTTTAAAATTGGACATGACACTTAGGACACAAGGCTGAGTGTTCTCACCAAACATTCTGATAGTTCACTGACTTTCATCTCGTTGCTATTGTTTGGGTAAACTAAATAGGTCGAAATACTGTGCTCTTAATAAGATAGTGCTATGGGGGCCCTGGGTGGCTCAGTCGGTTAAGCGGCTGCCTTCGGCTCAGGTCATGATCCCAGGGTCCTGGGATCGAGCCCTGCATCGGGCTCCCTGCTCGGCTGGGAGTTTGCTTCTCCCCCTCCCCTTGCTCATGCATGCATGCTCTCTCTCTCTCTCAAATAAATCTTTAAAAAAGATAAGATAGTGCTGTGATGGCTGGAACTCCCTTAAGGCTGTAGCAATCCAGCATGATACTACCGGTGAGCATTACTTGGGGTCCTCAAGACTGTCACTCTCCTGAGACACCTCTGCCGTGCACACTTGCCAATACCTGAGGCCTTGCCAAATGACTTTCTTACCGACTTATTAATGACTTGTTAAAAAGTATGATGAATGGCAGCCATGGGCTTTCGTCAATAAAGGTGGATAACACATTTAAGACCTTCTCCATCCTTGCGTGAGCAGAGTTAAAACAGTCAGGCATGAACACTGGCCAAGATATTTTGAGACATACCAAAATATCCTATCACTAAAAGGATTTAGATTCCAGGGAGGCCTTTGCCTGCAGTCCTTGGAAAGACACTTGATTCCTTAATCATTCCTAAAATGATGACTGGTGTGGGAAGATTCTGATTGCCAGATGCTGAAAGAAGATACCTGGATTCTGACTCCAGTGGATCACCTGCCTTGAATGAGCTTTCCGCGCAAGTGCAGCCTCAGCACCCACCACATCAGAGAGCTGGGACTTCATGAGACTAGAAAACAGGCTGTATGAACTTCAGGCCTACATCAGAATAAACGCTTCATTAAGAAATACATGCCTGTGTGAATTTGGCCTGAAACTTGAGCAAGATTTGGGGGGGGGGCAGCTAATCATCCCACTCAACTCAAACTTCTGAGGCTATTTTATCTACCAAAAAGAACTTTGAGTTTATCTTTTTTTTAAGACTATATTTATTTTAGAGAGAGAGCGTGAACAGGGGGAGGAGCAGAGGGAGAGGGAGAAGCAGACTCCATGCTGAGCACAGAGCCCAACATGGGCCTCAATCCCACGACCCTGAGATCAGGACTTGAGCCAAAATCCAGAGTTGGCTGCTTAACCGACTAAGCCACCCCAGGCGCCCCTGAGTTTATCCTAAAAGAACTTCAGAGCTCTACAAAATCAACTGGGTCAACTGGCAACCGCCAGGCGTGTATCTTAAAGCATTCCTTTTTGCATAGGCTTATGCAAATAAAAATGAAATAAGCTATCCTAATATGCACTGTCCAAGTCTCAGGCATAATTTAAAATTTTCTGGTAGCTACATTAAATAAAATGAAAAGAAATGGGTGAAAGCAATTTTAATAATATATTTTATTTCACCCACTATACCCAAAATATTATCCTTTCACCATGTAATCAATAATTTTAAAGTTATTAATGAGATATTTTACAGTATTTTTTTTTTCAGGCAAGGTCTTTGAAACCTGGTGTGCATTTTACCCTTACAACGCATCTCGATTTGAACTTCCAGTGTTTCGATCGCTCCCAGCGCTCGTGGCTGGTGGCTCCCAAGCAGGACAATGCAGCTCTACAGGATTAATTTTGGGCACAAGGGAGCATTCTATCCTTCCTCAGTGTCTCCTCCAGGTTTCTGCCCCAGGGCGAATGCCCCCAGTTTCTCTCATTTCTCTGAAGATTCTGAAGTCCCTTGATGGATACCAGGGAGGCCAACAATGAGCAACCAAGTAGGGAGTGAACCCTCAGACAGAAGGAGAGAAGGACCCCAACCTGGAGCTGGTTCCCTGCCCACTGCCCCTGGACTCTTCTCTGCTTTCCCCAGGCTTTGCTCACTTCCGGGCCCGGAGCTGGGCCTCTGCTGCCCGCCGGGAGAAGCAAGAGCATAGTAAAAAATCTCACCCTTTGAAAGACGCACACAGAGTCTGAAGTCTTTTTTTTTTAATCAGAAGTAAGAGAATGGACCAAATTACAAAACAGGGATGCACAGCTCCAGGTATGGGGCTCTGAACTGTCTGAACTAAATTAATGTGAAAACTAACTCTGGGCCCTCAGTTTCTGGGCTCATTCTTTTGATGAATGAATTAACCAGTCGCTGACTTTTGATGAGCTCTGCCCTCAGGGTTTCACGATGGGTCCTCCAATCCTGTGTTACGGGGACAGTACTTCAGAGTTCAGTGAAACCTCAACAGCACTGCTTCTTCCTTCAGAAGACGCACACTGCCCACCCGTGGAAACTCAACGGATGCACCTGTACAATCAAGATGTTCATTCCCCAGGGCAAGTGAGCAGGTTCCCGGGAGGTCCTGGCTCTCTGAAATTACCCAGAATTATCACATGAGCCTGGTGAAGCCCCTTCGTGAGAGAAATGGTGATACAAAGAAATCCCAGGGGTCTTTCCAGCAATGGGAAAGGGCTGTGGAACCAGAAAGAGCCGGGATAATTTACAGACTCCAAAGGAAAGGTAGCCAGGTCTCAAGAAGGACAGAAAGCAGGGCAGTCCCAGGACTCTAGCAGCAGGAGGTAATGGCTCTTCCCGCAGGATGACCGGCTACAAATGAATTCGCCTCTGTGTCCCCTTGAGTCACATTTCTGGGAGAGTGCTGTGATGGCCAACATGGGTCACATGACCATCCACTTCACTGACAGTCCTACCAGGACCCCAGTGATGGGAAGGACAGTCAGAGTGTGTGGGGATGCAGCTCCACTCCCTTCAGGAGCAGTGGTCTGCTGTGGAAGTGATTCTCAACCCTGTGGATGGGGCACCCCTTGGAGGGGCATGGCTCAGTTTGGGGCAGAGCTGGTCAAAGACCTTGAGCCAGTCCTTCTGGATAGCCTTCTACCCTCCCTCCCCAGTACCCTTATCCCCACCCTCCCACCACACCCCTCTTAAGATTGCTGAGGATGAAACGAGGCGGAGAATTCTCAAACATCTTCATTTTTACCAAAAACTCATCCACGATTAATCCATAATCACCAAGGCTGAGGAACTGGAAATAGGGTTTCAAGGACGCTTTGTGTCATGACTTCTAAAGGGATCAAACACTCGCAATTTTAGAAATAGAAGGGACCCTTTAGGTCATTAGACCTCAGATGTTTCTTAAGTTACATGTGTCATCCTTCAAACAAAATATCCCAGGATGCCAGTGTATAGGGGCAAAGCAGAGGCATGCTTCTGGAAGGACATGATCGCAGTAGGGTAGGGGGCCAGGCCCCCCCAAGCCCCCAGCAGCCCTCTTCCCTGAGAGGGAAATGCAGCTCAGAAACTAGAGTCTCTCCTTACAGATGGACAGGCTGAGGCCAGACTGACCAGTGGGTCATGCAACTAGTTAGTGGAAGCTAATGGGAAACAACAGGACTGGAATCTGTCTCGGGCTTCTCTCTACTAGTTAAGAGGTGACAGCCAAGCCTTTAAAACGATTCATGGGTGATAATAAAGGCCAGCCGATATTTATCCTTAAAATAGGGATTACACAGATGCTTCTGCAGCACATTCTCTTGCTTTGAGGACAATCATCTGACAAACTGACCCCAACACTCGCGAAGGTGAGTAGGTGCCACTGGAATGTACAGTTGCTGGTGGGGGTGGGGGGGAGGATTCAATTGGGAGTACTCTCTTTTGTTTGCACCAGAAGTCAGAATGTGTGGACGCTTGTGTTTTTATTATGCTTTGGATGCTGTCAGCTGCATTTTCAAAAGCTCTACCAGCAGCAGCATCTAGATTTTTTCCAAATGTAGACTCTGTGTCAACAGTCTAATTTTAGAAAACATTCCAACCCTGATGTTGTATGTGTTGGCAATCTAGGCCCGTGGTTCTCAAAGTGTGGTCAATGACGGCTAGGGATAATGAGAAATGTAAAATGATTCAGAGTATAAAATATCTGGCAGATCCCAGACCTACTGGGTCAGAATTTCTGGGGTCAGGACCCAGGAGTCTGTATTGTAACATGCCCTCCAGGTGCTGCTGGTCCACACGGAGATTTCAGAATCACTGATCTAAACCATTTTTTTGAGAAAGAGAGTAGAGAAGTCACTAGAGCCCAATGTGCCTTTGAAGAATCAGCCTGCCAATCCATTTACAGAGATACCAGAAATCCCACTAAAAACCCAACTGCCTATATCTTTACCCAGCCTCAAATCCAGCATCTAAGCAGCTGCTCAAGAATGGGTATTCAAGTTCATTGAGATGTCTAGTTAATTAGGGTTTAATTAAAAAACACTTCAACCTTGGTTGTCAAAAACCTTCCCAAAAATTGTAGATTTGCTTTCCTTCCCGGTGCTAAGGCTGGCCTGGAGGACGGTGCTGAGTCTGTTCTAGAGCTCTACTCCCTGTCTTCCCACTGCCTCACCCTCTCTCCCTCTGCATACCTCCTGGTTCCTCCTCTGCCCTTCTGTTCTCCAGCCTCCCCACCCCCAACCCCATCCTGAACTCCGGAAGTTCTGGAAGTTCGTCTCCAGCCTCAGAGTTGTTCTTAGGCAAATGAAGCCCTGTAGCCCTGAAAACAAAGGCTCCATGCCCCTTCCCCAAATGCCCTTGCTTCTTGCCCTTTCCCCGGATGCACTGAAGATACACAAATTGCATGGAAAAGCATATATGGCAGTTTTAGGTACTTCTTAAAAAATTGTTTTTAAGTGAAAGCATTTGACTAGAACCCACATCATTTTAAAATTCTGGGGATTTTAAAGAAAAAAGGAGAGAAATCTTAAAGCCTCCTTATAGTTTCCTTAAGATAAGCAACACTGGGCATTATTGGGACCGATAACCATATATACATAGAGAGACAACGAGTCCCAGAGGTTAGCCAAACCCAGACGCTTAAAAGTCATCAAGAATTCTTACTGCATCAAAAGTCTTAAAATCTGAATAACTTTGGCCAAAGTATGTAAGTGGTATGTTGAGCATTTATATTATTTCAAAGTGCCTAGCAAAGAGTGGCTTGCTTTAGATTTTTTGGCTGTTAAAAATACAGGAGCTCTGTTCTGAAGATGTAATGACATGGGCAGTATTAACAGATGACAGTCTGGTGAAAGCAGAAGCAATCCTTCCCGTCAACATACATTGTGATATTTTCCAAGCATGGTTCAAAGACTGGGTCAGTGGTTTCTCCTCTACCCCATTTTCCACAGCCACATCTAGGCATGAATCCCTTCCACAAGACCAAAGGAAAGGGACACTGACACGGAGCTGACAGTCGAAACCATGTTGATCTGATGTAGGTAGACACTCAAAGATTTGTCAGCCAAAATCACTGATATGACCAGCCAACCAGACGTGAATGTACTCCTCCATTTCTACCTTCTCACGTGACCATCTCGATGGACAGAGAACAAGAAGGTCCAGCCTTCCCCTGGCCAACCCCTTGAGTTCCTGTGAAGCAAGGATTGGGTACATGTTGTTCACTCCAGGAAGCTCTGGAAGGGAGGAAGTGATCCAGGGAAAGGAACAAAGGCAAGGAAGGTGTACAATGAGCAGGTTACCACTGTGGACAACCACACCTCAGTAGTGCTGAGGACCCTTGGAGAGACTGTAGAACTCACCTCTGAACTGCTGCTATGAGCTGTGGGGCAGCTGGGGAGCTCATCCACCTACTCCCACCCCTCAGCAGCCGAGGGTTGCTCCTGGGGTGTGAAGGCCCACATGTCCAGACTACGCCTCCTGCGCATCATGCAAGTTCCCACAGCCAGACACATGCAGGAAGCCAGCCAGCATGCTCAGCATGTCTGTGTGACCTCAGGGGTGGCCCACAGGATAGGGATGGGGCACCAACGTCAAGCGTGCAGGGGTCATCTTTACCCAGGGACTCTGACCTTGTGTCTGCCTCCTGAGAGACAGAGATTCCCCGACTGTCCTTGGGAGGCAGAGAATGAGCCATGTACACAAAAGACTTCTGACCACACATGCCAAGGATGGGCTGTGGGGCTCCAAAGTCACTGAACCTCACCAAGGGTGAGGCTCCTCACTGGCAACAGAGGGGTTGAACGGGGTCGTTTCTGAGGGTAGAATAAAGAACCACAAAACTGTGCCAAAGCTCCAAGCTGGTGCGTGGATACGGCCAACTCCCCGCATCATATGCAGTGCTCATGATTTCTGCTACAACCAGGCGCCACCTGTGTTATTAGTCACTCGGTATTTTTCCTCAAATTGCTTCATCTACTTATATGCTTTCAAAAAGGAACTTTTTGATGTCACCTGCTATCAAGAAGAGGTAATCATGAAAATAAATTCACAGCTACTAGAAAATTATTCCTTCATGCGCCATCTAAAATCACCTCCCACTCCACCAGAGTCATGAATCCCACACTCTGGGGAAACGAAGCTGGCATCCATCACATCAAGGGCTCTGTAATAATAATTGTGACAGGCAAGTCACAGACACTATTATGTCACTTCATTCTTACTGTGCATGTCGATAGACATCCATTCCATGGTGGTGGCAACCATTACTGCTCCTACTTCAGAGATGGAAGAAGCCGCAGCTCAGAGAGATAAGGAAATTCCCCCAAAGTCTCATAGATACTCGATAGTGGCATGAAGGGTCCTATTATTGGGCCGCTCTCTGTTTTTGGACTGGACACTCGCTTGTGAGCAGAAGTGTCTTTCCCCTGGCCCAGGGAAGAGCCACGCCGATGCCCTGCTCCGGCTCTGGCCCAAGTTCCTGGTAGCATCTTTCCCCAGAACTTCTGTAACATTCTCATGGCACTGATACTCTAATTGTCCTCACTGTCTGTCACAATATACACAAAGGGAGGCCTTTCCCTTCCCTGGCCTTATCTCCAATACCTTATTTTTCTACCTGCAAATATGTCTTGCTTTTGTAATAAGAGAACAACAACAGAAGGCTGGAGCCTGTTTTTTTGTTGTTTTTTTTTTTAAAGATTTATTTATTTATTTGAGAGAGTGAGAATGAGAGAGAGTACATGAGAGGGGGGGCGGTCAGAGGGAGAAGCAGGCTCCTCGCTGAGCAGGGAGCCTGATGCGGGACTCGATCCCGGGACTCCAGGATCATGACCTGAGCTGAAGGCAGTCGCTTAACCAACTGAGCCACCCAGGCGCCCTGGAGCTTGTTTTTGAATCCAGTGTTACTTCCCACCAAAGCTAAAAAGAGGGACTACACTCTTTCTCCCTCCTCTATGAAGAATGCCCGTGACGGGACTGCATGAGCGACAACCATAAAATAAGTCCAGAGGGAGCCCTGCTTTCAGTGAGGACAAATACTCACAAAGTAAAATGTGGTGGTGTTGGGGAGGGGCTGCTAAACAGGCATCTAAGTGAACAGTGTAAGGCACCTATGTCCCTGAAAGCAGTGGTCTGTGGACAAGATGGCGGCCCCATTTGGCAGCCGGGATCACCACCCAAAACAAGAATGGGGATGAGCTATGAGTATCAGCAGAACAACAGGGTGATGTCTGATGCTAATAACACCCAAATCCCAGCTCAACTTTTAACAGGCTTGGGGCCATCATGGCCCAAACCAATACAAGACCAATCACTGAGTCTGGGCACTGAGGGCTCTCCTAAGCACACTCTCACCTCCACCTCTGTGTTTCTATCTGGGGTGTTCACACAGTGGCTGGCCTGAGACAATCCCAGTTTCTACTAATTGACCTTGATAATTACTGACAGTACCTCCTTCCACACAGTCTCCTGGTTTGAATGATATATCATATGCTCACACAGGGAAGGGCATAGGAGCATCATGTGGTAAATAACATAGACAAAACAAAATTCAGTTTCCCTAGGTTATGGTTCTAACATTCCCACCAGTTAGCAGACTAATCCTAGACAGCAGAGGTTGGACAAAGCCAGGGACTGGCAAACATCCTGAGCCAATGCCGACTATCTGTAGTGGTTGCCTGGAGCTCCACGTGAAGAATCCTAAGGCCACATCTGGGCACGGCAGGGAAAGGTGCTGTGTTTGATCAGTAATTCTGATGAGGAATTACGGGTGTGGAAGGGAGGGAAAGGGGACAATCAGCCATGTGCCCTATATAAGCAACCCTTCGATGAAATAGTCTCCATGGGTCTTTCTGCTCGGACATTTGAGCTCTGAAATGACAGCTATCTGCCATCCCTGCTTTTGTCCAACCTCTGAGATCTGGGATTATTCCATCTGGTAGTCGAGTTCCCCTGGCTAGAGCAGAAAATCCAATCAATTAGGATGATGATGGAGGATCTGAAGAAGGAAATTCCCTGCAAAGGACAACCCCGCAGGACTCTGCAGGAGGGTCTCCAGCAAGAAGCTCAGAATCCCTGGTGGCCCCCACATGGCTACTCTCCAGACTCTGAGAAGGGAGAGCCTGAAGGGAAGTGGAAATTTCTTCCTCTATTCTCTGAGAGTTCTCCTGCAGAAGAGCAATCTCGAGACTCTCAGCCAACAGAGTAGACATCCTTGCATCCCAATAACCACTACCCAAAGCAAGTTTCTTCAGTTTGGTGTGTTTGGAACCAGCACATCTGAACGGCACAACCAGAGCTGGTATTGTAATGCTGCCATGTTTGAATAGCCTAGGACAACCCATTAAGCTTAACATCTAGGGTTCTCTCGTGAGACCCTGTGTGTTGCGGGAGAGAATTGTGTGTCTTGGGTGTGTGAGTTCACACAAAGACTTACTTGAAAATTATGAATCAAGAAAGAGAGTGACAGCAAAAGAAATAGGTGAACCCTAAAAGGACACAGAGAGAAGGTGTGTGACAGTCATTTCAGTCACTAAGTTCCATTCTCAAACTCAAGTCTGGACTCAAACTCAAGTTCGTATTCAGCTCACCTTGTTAAGCCGTTCCAGCATTTCTTTTAGGAGCAGTTGACATTCACATTCGTTTTCATACCTGCAAATGGGACACATAAGCAAAAGTTGGACAACTTCCGTGATTCCATACGTGATGATCACACAATCAGCGCTTAAGTTTCATCTGAGATGAGTACTATGCCGTCTCTTTAAGGAGAGGTCCCTAAGGTTAAAATAGTAGCTAAGGCGGCACTGCCGAGCCCTTGGCTCCCCAACCTCTGCCACAGCCTGGCGCATGTGCAGAGTGCTGCTGTAGCCACCACAGACGGGGCTACCGGGGAACGGTGAATGGAACAGGAGTCCCCCAGCCTGGAGGCCCATCCCCCCCACCCAGCCAGCTCAAGGATGAAGGAATTGTATCTCCACACACCCCTAACCCAAGCACCGCAGGGGCACAGAGGCTGCCCTACATGACCTGCAACAAACGCCCTTAACCTGACCTTGTTTGGGTTGTCTGTACTCTTGTATTTATCCACATGTGTCAGTGTTTCTGGATTATGCCATTTAATCCTTACAAAACCCTGGAAGAGAGCAGTTATCATTGTTCCCCAGGTGAAAGATAAGGAAACTGAGGCTGAGAAACTGGCCCTTGACCTCGGGCAGCTGCCCCGGACACTTCACCCTCATCTCTGTGCCCTCGCCCCTGCACACCAAAGGCCTGCTCTGGGCCAGTGGGCAGGGCAGGCTGGACAGGGCAGAGTCAGTGCCCCTGGGGCAGCCCTCAACCTCTGACAGAAGGTGAGTGGGTACATAAATAGCCCGGCTCCCTCACCCTCAGCTAGGACAACTGAAGTGTTTCTCCATCTGGCACGCTAGCTCCAGGTGCCCACGATGTTAATTTGCTGGCTAATGCACTCGGTGTTTTCTGCCTTCCCCTCCTGCCTCACTTCCTCACTCCCCAAACTTGCTCCTTGAGGTCACCTTCCAGATAAGCTACCAGCCGTCAAACCCCTTGATCGGGCTTGGCTTCTGGAAGACTCCAAACTAAAGGAGGGATGGAGTCAGGACTCACACTTGAATCTAGCACCAAAAACTATGCCCTGATAGCCACACCATGCTGCCTGGGTAGAGCAGAGAGACCCTCCAAATTTAAACATAATTAAACAAAATTGATAATGCAACAGATACTAGGAATGGGTGTAGTTTTCCTCCTAGTCACCTTCCTCCCTGGACTTGTAGAAAATGATAGGGATCAAGGAGGCAAAGAAACCCCAGAAATCATTCTGTTCAAAGAGTGTCCCTCTAGGGGGAATTTTATCCCCTTAAGAAAGAGATAAGTCCCCTTCCCAAATGACTCCCCCCTTGTTCCCTGTAAGTTGGCCCCAATATCCATTCTGGCCTTCTTCCAGGAGTCAGAGCCCTTGATGTTTGGTGGGCACAGGGCTGCCTAGAGGGAAAACTACATTTCCCAGCCTTCCTTGCAGCTAGGTGTGGCCATGTGACCAAGTCTTGACCAATATGTAAGCGTAAGTCTGTGGCAGTCTCCAAATATCTTTGATAAGAGATGATGTGGGTGTGTCCTTCTGCATCCTTTCCTCCATCCTGCCCCTGAAACATAGATGCTGCTTCCCTGAAGGCCAGGCACAGACTTCTGAGCCTCAAATACTATAGAGTGGCATGCTGAGCTGCTTGCTAGGCCAGACCTTACGCAAGAGAGAAATCCATCCTGGTCAAGCCAATATCACTTTGGAGTTTATGCCACTTGTGGTTGAAACTAATCCTAATTAGCATTCAGCCCAACCCACAGAGCATAGCTTTCAGAGCCCTTGCACACCCATGCCATGGGCTCAAGTCAAGTACCGAAAGAGGTGCTAGAAAACCATGCAGCTGGTTTTCTAGCGGAATTAGAGAGTCCTGACTTCAGGGAAGACTAATTAGAAATATGTGCACTGTGCACGCTCCCAGGTCTAAAGCCACCTAAGAAGCTGTTATAACCAGTAGGCAAAGCTTTACGTTTCCCACCAGGATGTCACATTTAGCAGTTTCTTTTGTGTGTGGCTCTAATGGAGCCAGAAATTATTTTTTAATAGCTAATAGTTAGCTTTGAGAATAAAACTGTGAACAAATTCCAAATTTTCTCATTGCTCTTTCCTGCTAGAAACATCTAAGAATTTCTGTAGCTTAAAAACATGTTTGATAAATAATGCAGTAACATGTTATCGTGGGTAGTTTTCACGCTGTGAAGACAAGTCTAGATATTATAGACAAGTGATTTCATTATAAAGAATTCATGATAAGAATTCATAAAGTGAAAAAACACTTTGGCTTCAATTATTTGATTGTTTTACATAATTATTTTTGGTTTTTAACAATTTAGACAATTGACTGTATTCATCAATATATTTTGGTAGTTTTATTTGTTTTTATTTCATTCTTGTTTTATTTAGTCTTTGTCTGATGTGCTGAAAACCTGATTTTGAAATTATTCAACTATCCAAGTAGAGAATATGCCTACCAAGGCTGCATATACCCTCCTACTTCTGCATTATTTTCACCTGGCTTTGGCTAGCCATCAGTTCACCTCTGGGATGTAAACCAAACTTGGTGTAAGTGTGTACCCATGCTTGTGGATGGGTATGATTTTCATAATCATTTTCAAATCCCAATACCTCAGTCAGAATATCAAAGTATCTCCAAGGGGGCAATGGGAGGGAATAAATTAATGGGAATTACTAAATATATCACAGAGCTGGAAGGGACAGCTATGAAGACATAGCTATGACATCTAACTCAGAACCAAGTGAAATTAGGAAAAGACAAGGAAAACTCAACATGGCCACTCCTTCAATGAGGGGCTCAAGGGAGTCATGCCCGCCCAGCCAAATCACTGGGGCCTAATGCCTAGGTAAAGACCATTTTGGGATCCAGGGTTTCCTGCTGGCCCATGGAGCTGCCCTTGGTGTCTGAACCAGTGCACGCTTCCCTTTGCTTTAGAAAACACACGCTTCATTTGAATGAGATCCTATCTCTACGTCTCACTCCACAGGAATCCAAGAATGGATCCTCTCCAAGACACAGTGTTCTAGAAAGCATAGAGTGAAAAAACCCGAATTCAAGTCCTGCCACCCACAGGCCCTCTCCAAGCCCCAGTTTTCCCATGAAGGGCGATAACAGGTGGATTTCCAGATCCCTTCTTCCAGCTCCAAATCTGTTTCTATGGATCAAACCCAGAATGAAATAGGAATGAAATCAATGAGGGGCGCCTGGGTGGCTCAGTCGGTTACACGTCTGCCTTCAGCTCCAGTCATGATTCCAGGGTCCTGGGATCAAGCCCTGCATTGGGCTCCTTGCTCATCAGGGAATCTGCTTCTCCCTCTCCCTCTGCCCTTGCCCTTGCCCCTTCCCCTCCCCCTCCACTCCTGCTCTGTTTTTTCGCTTTCTCTCTTTCTCAAATAAATAAATCTTAAAAAAAAAAAAAAGGAATGAAATCAATGAGTATGATCTGATAAACATGCTCAGTGAGTATGATCTGATAAACATGCTCAGTACATTTTGTTGAATAACCTGCCCATGATTCAGATTAAGAATGTGGGACTCAGACATAGAGCATGTTTGCAGAAGACCCTCTGGCTACCCTAGACCAGGGGTCCCCAAACCTGGCTTTTCACTGGAATTACCAGTGGAGCTCATAAAACTTAACATTTCTGGGCCACACCTGAGTTCCAGGGTGGGGCCTGGCCATCTGTATTTTTAAATTAATTTATATAACTTTTAAATGAATAAATCTCTTATGTGGTTAGACAAATTTTTTTAATTACATAAAAAACTGTTCCATTAAAAGTCTCCTCTGCTCTCGTTGCCCAGTTCCTACTCCCTGGTCCTCCACATGTAACCAGTGTCATTGGGTTTTTGCATGTGTCTGCTTGTGTTCTCTTTTTCCTTATGCAAGCAAAAAATTCTGCTCTTCTCCCCCTTCTTTTTAAAGTAAATGATAGTAACACACTATTCCCTTGTTTTACAATTGCGTAGCATTCCATTGCATAAATGAAGCACAATTTGATAACCTGACTATCTATGAATAGGCATTTAGGTTCGTTCCAGGCTTTTGCTATTGCAGATCACACTGCAATACGGGCATGCCATTTTATACTTGCTGGAGCACCAAAGAATGAATTCCTTGAAGTGGCCCCTGCAGAGTAAAAGAGCACATGCATTTATAACCTGGGACGATGGTGGCAAATTGCTGAGCATCCTTTTTTCTTTTTAAGTTCTTCAGGTGATCTTATCATCTTATTCATTCTGTGGAAAACGGGACCATGCTCTGGACCAGGGTTTCTGAAATTTCAAGCTTAACTCCATTTCTAACCAGCTCCTGGGTGATGGCAATGCTGCTGGTCCATGGACCACACTTCAAGTAGCAAGACGCTAGAGGACACACATTGAAATAATGTCCAGGTAGCAGCTGTGATGCGGTAAAGATGATTAGACTTAGCATGCCCAGGACCTGAACTCCATCCCAGTGCAGCAAGGCACTAGCTGAGTGACATTGCCCCAAATCTTGACACTATCGAAGCCTTAGTTTCCTCATCTGCAAAACAGGTGCAGTACCGTCTATTACAGGATAAGGCTGTGAGGATCAAATAACATGGATACATCTCAAAAACACTGTGCTGTGCAAAAGGATCCAGACATATAAGAGCACATCTGTAAGATTCCATTTTTGTGAAATCCCAGAACACACAAAATTAATCTATGGTGACAGTAATCAGAACACTGGGTGCCTCCAGGTTTTTTGTGGGGGAGGGGTGCAGGGTGACTGGGAAAGGACAGGAGGGAACTTTCTGGGGTGGTGGAAATACCCTGCTTGTTTGGGTAGTTACATGGGTACATACATTGTCAAAAGTCATTGAACTATGCACTTAACACCTTTACATTTTTAAAAAGATTTTAATTTTAAGTATTCTCTACGCCCAAGGTGGGGCTCGAACTTACAACCCCCAGATCAAGAGTGGCATGCTCTACCAACTGAGAGAGCCAGGCGCCCCCAAACCTGTGCATTTTATTGCATGTAAATTAGACCGAAATTTTAAAGCACATTACAAGTACATGATACCACTTCATGCAAATTGCGAAGTGCCATCGGAAGGGAAGGGGTCTCGGGTGAGGGAGAGGCACCGCGCGTGCGCGCGGCCCCTGCGGGGACGAAGTCCTGGGTCGCCAGGCGACCGCCCACGCCCTGCCTCCGTTCCCCCCCCACCCCGCCCCCCGTGCGCGCGCGGCCGCCGCTTACTTGCTGCGGAACTCGTCGAGCGCGCGCTGCGCCTCCGC